TGTAAACAGCAGCTGCAGATCGACCGTCTGCTCATCTGCTCCCACTCTCACGTGGTTTCTGTTGAACCGGTTTGACTGTTTCTAGAAATCTTGCAACTCACCTTGCATTCGGGGAAAGAATCTTGTCTGCACATGATTTTCAGATTATTTAATTTCAGAGAAACAAGACCCTCAGATCGTGATATGCGCAGGAAGTGTCTGCCCTCTGGTGGCCACATGGGGGAATTGCAGTAGCAACATTAAATCTGTGAAAATCAGAGACATTACCCCACTTTTTCCAGAAACATTTCTTATTTTTGCTTTAATATGAGCATTTAACTAGAATGACCTCTTAGTGTATGCTTCTGGGTAACTTTCAGAGCACTTTCTTCAATTTTAACATAGAACAATTGGGTTAGACATCAAACAGTAATCAATCTGCAGATATCCATATTACCCGCTCTAGTCCCTCGAGTTTAACTCCAACGAACGCTCATTAAAGTATTAACTAAAGGCACGGAAAGTTATATACTGGTGCCTTATTATTTTATAATTTCGTGCAAACAGAAGTACTTTGTCCTCCTCTTCTCTCAAAAAAAAAAGCCATACATGTTTTAGATACTTTAGAATAAAATAACGACATACAATATGTTGCTTTATGGTCTGTGCTACAGTTCTGTCAGTCAGTGTTAATGGTTCTGTCACAATGGTCCTCACATTTTATCCTTTCTGTTTTGTACGACTGAGGTTGAATCAGGAGAAGTTAGATCAGATGTGAATTCCACTATTGCTTTTAGAGTTCCCCTTTCAGTTCCCTTTGTAGAGAACTGGCCCACTTTCAATGTGTTCAGAATAATGTGTCATTTTATTGATGGCCAAGGTCTTAATCAAAGCCTTAACCTTGTCATGTCTCCGTGTTTTAGGCCTGCTATTGTTGCAATACACTGTAAACTACCTAATGTACCTGCTGTTCCTGTAAATACTCGCCCACTTTATTATTTTTGCTTTACATTTTCAATTATTTACTTGTCACTTTTTTTTTGTGGTTATGTGTCGCAGGGATGATTTCCAAAATCTCAGACTTGAAATGTGGCTGCAGCCCTGAATGTTTCATGACATGAAGATATTTTTGCTAGTCTATAATGAAGATTTCTATACACAAAGACGATTGAAATATTTCAGATTGACACGCCTTTCCTGTTAGCAGCAGTGACTGGAGTTTGATGATATGGATTAGATCAGATCTCAGTCTGCTGAGGCACAGACAGATTGTGGAACTGCTTGTTATGAAATAATGATAAGCCTTCATCAGTGATTTCTATTTCCTCTCTTCCATCTCTGACACCGATGGCCGTGGCTGCGTGCCAATCCTGTGTGGTTTTCTATCATTTGTAAACAACAACAATTAGAAAGTGACAACATTATATACAGAACAAATTATTTTTCAAAGACAGATTATTGGCCATGAGAACTGTAATGTGTGTTTTGAAAGATGTTACTGCCTCGTGCATAGTTTTGAACAAAAAGCTTTCCATCAGATCAACTAAATCTCTACCTTGTTTGTTTGAAAAGTTGAATTAAAGGGGACCTATCATGCTATATTTGAATAATATATAGTAGGGCCATACCTATAAAAAGGTATATTTATAAGTTTTATTTTTCAAAATACCAAACAGATCATGCATTTTAGCCATGCCTCATTTTGCCTCACTCCAGCTCTGTCTTTGCATGAGCTGGAGCTGACCCCCCCCCCTGCAAAGGAGGGGGCGAGGCACAAGCATCATGTTACTATGCTGTTGCCATGCTGTTGCTATGCCGTTGCCATGCCACGGCAACCTCTCATTCCCCTGATAGATGGAGAGTTGACCATACAGGCGGAGTGCACCTCTGTGACATCATAGAGGTGCAAATCAGAATCCACATGTATCAGATCCGTTGCAGCCCTGTTTTTAGAGATTTGGGTATGGAGGAAAAGAGAGAGGGTTGTATTTTCTGACACTTGGTGAGTTCCCTGGAACACCGGGGACACATATTCATGTATAAAAGACGTACAAAAGTGCATTTTGCATGATAGGTCCCCTTTAAATTTGCTCTCTGGATTATNACAGCTAGAGTGTGTAAACTCAACTACTAACGGTATATACTAACGTACGTGAAACGGCGGTCGAATATCATTTTCATATGAGTATCCGGATGTTGCGAAGTTATACTTTTTACAGTATGAAACAAGTTACTCGGTGACTGTCTTGACTCCCTATCGCTGTTAGATAACCTAGGTGTGACCCCTCCTCGCCACAGATGTGCCGTCATTCAATGTCCTTGCTGACACCTTTTATGTTAACATAGAAGTAGTGTACATACATGTATTAAGGGTATATGAAATAACAAACTACAAATATCGTAACGAGAGAGATAGTTAGTGGTGTCAACATAATACTTACAATAATCTCATAATATAAATACATATGTTGAACACAAATGGAATAAATGATGCATAGAGGGGTTCATCAAACCAAAGACTAGAACCGAGCAACAGTCGGCACTGGTCGACGTCTTAAAGCTCCCTTTTTTCGACTGCCGAAGCCCCACCGGCACCCTTCTTGAGGCACTAAGTGCAAGAAGTGTCATTAGTCGAATGTAACTTGACATAACCTATCCGGTGTCTGTCGCCGGTATATCTATCTTTATGTCTGATGCCATAACTTATCCAACAGTTAGAATACAAAAACTCATCCGATTATGTATTCGACTTCCCGTACCCGACCGGCCCTCTCCGCTCCGACGCAGTCTCAGTGAGTAGTCTGGTTCGAGGACTCTTTTGCATACTTTTTCAATCGTTGACCATGGCTGATCGTATAAGACGGTGCCGACACTAACTGTGGACCTGATTCAGGCTTTATGCTTAAAGCAAGTAGCGCGGCTTACCTTCGCTCTCTCCCTTTTGGCGAATGCATTTAGCCGTCTCTTTAGTGGAGGACTCTGCATCGGGGGACGTGTAGGAATCAGCGTGGTGGCTTGTGCTGGCATTTGGGGTCTTGGCAGTATTGTTGGAACAGCATCTTTGTTCAGTTTGAAATTCTTTTTTAATCCAATTTCCTTAGCGAGCATTGTGGACTGGTCAAAACACGATCTTTCAAAGTGCTGCCCACAAATGGTAGGTTTCATCGACCCCGGGTTACCTGGACCAGCAAAGTCCGCCCTCGTACGACACACTTGTTTGGTCCATATACGCGACATTTGATAATTTTTTGGCCACAAAAACATCCCATAGCCAGATTTGGAGACATCCCCATACCACACATCGCTTGCCGATTATTCTTCGCGTTTTGTTGTTGTGCATCCTTTGTTTTAATATTTGCCGCTTCAAGGCATTTAAACAATGGTGACTCAGCTGTGTTCTGCTCAGCTGTGTTCTACTCATGACGTCACCGCCGGAAATGACCGAAGTTGTTGTTTCCAGAGCTACGAACGATCGTTACTAACTGACAACATTTGTATGCTGTTATAATCGTGATTTATTAAGAAATACATCAATAATAAAAAAAACAAATGGCACATTTCACAATACAAATGCAGCCTCTATCATATAGCAAGCCCACTAACAGGTGCTAAAAGCGTTTCGTAAGCTCTTTAAGAGCATTCCATGGAATATAACAAAAAGTGTATCTCGAGCCGGTTTCTCAAACTTACCTATACCCACCTTTAACTGTGTAATAAAGTTAATTATTAAAAATGTTAAAGTTCCTTATTTTTAAACTGAAACGTGCAATACACTTGTTCAAAAATAATTAAAAAACAAACCTGGAATTATACATTTGGGACTTTTTTTTGCTTTTTCTCGTTGTACCGAACCCGTACCGAACCGTGACCCCCAAACCGAGGTACATACCGAACCGTGAATTCTGTGAACCGTTACACCCCTACCTTGTTTTATATTAAAAACTGTTGTGCAACACCACTGCTCATGTGAATATACAGTAAAATGTATTTATTTTCTATTCATTTCAATTTGGTAATTTATATATATTTCAGCCCTTATGTAAGGAAAGAAGTAAAACATTACTATTAAAGGGATTAGCAAATTGTTACCAGCAAAGTGGAGATACAGGGTCCCAAAATGTAATAAAGTTAAACTGAAGCAGTCTTTTGTGCATCAGTCATCCTAAAATGAAATACAGAGGGGGCGGGGTATAAGGAAAACACAGAGGGTGTTTCTCAATGTCAAGTAAAGCTGCTCCAGAGCCACTATTTCAAGGATGCTACGTCATCGAGTCCCGCCAAAGGACTGTTCCAATTTCAAGGCTCCTTGGAATTCTACCGAGCCTGGCGTCCTTCGTAGCGAGAAATTTCGAGGCTGCACATGTGTATCCTCCGTGTTCTTAAAATCCCCACAATGCTTTGCGCATGGACCAATTTCAAAATCTTTGGCAGAAATTGCGCTCTATTTAAGGCGGGGCCTCGCATATGACGCACACCTGCACACCTGTTCCACCATTCTTCGTTTTCCGAGGCTAGGAAGGATTCTTGCCTCGCTTCTGAAGGAAGAGACTCGGAAGACATGTCCTACCAAGGAAGCGTCCTCGACATTGAGAAACACCCTCTGTCTGTAAATACAAGGCTACAGCCAGGAGATGGATAGCGTTGTCAAAACAAATATTCTTAAATTTGACTAATCATAGGTTGTTTGTTTTTTTCAACAGAAGCATAAACATTACAAATTCACGATTTACTGGGAGTATGTGACATGCGATACAATTTAATGAATTCTAGAGGTGAATCGTTTCCCTATTCCCATCTTTATGCTAAGCTAAGCTAACTGGCTGCAGCTTCATATTTAGGGGACAGATATTTAGCCGGTAACGATCTACCAATCTAACTTTTTCAGGAAGCAGATTAGCATTTTTCCCAAAGTGAGAACTTCAGAAAAGCAGAAGCCAATAATATACGAGCTGAGCTCCTAGATGTCTGACTTCACATCAACAATATAATGCTTAAACACAGATTGGAAATTGGAGGAGTTTTTTTTAAGTTAAATACTTTAATTTAAGGTACAAACAACAAACATGATCATTTAAAGCAAACAGTACATTACAAAGATAACAGACCATCACGGGAAAGCTTTACATTTCAAGGCAGCGGTGCAAGGGTCAAAGGTCAGAGTCCTTCATTCTCCTCCAGCTTCTGGAACAGTGCCAGGCTGCGGAGCTGGGACTGCCTCTCTCCGTTCTTCCACAGGATCAGCAGGTGGTCCGTGGAGCAGGTGACCAAACCGTTCTCCCTGAAGCTCACGAACATCTGACACAGGCACAACATCGGTGAAGCACTTCTGTCTCACTTTTTTAAAGTAGAACATACGTTTGGAAATCATAAAGGTCATACCTGGACAGCTCCCGAGTGTCCAATGAGATCCCCCGTCAGCTCCAGCATCCGGATGTTTGGGACGTCCACCACCTTCTTTAACGGAGGAGCGCTCGGTTTGTTCGCCCGGCTGAAAGTCCACATGCCAAAGAAGCCTGGGGTAAAGGACAGAGGAGAAAAAGAGATATTGACGAATATTGGATTGAAGAAGACAATACAAAAATAGATTATATATATTGTGCAGACTGTTCTTGTTACTTATATAATCACAGTTGGTTGTTGATGCATGGACAAAATGTGTTTCTGTAGATTCAGAGGAAGATAACAGCCAAGTAGGATTGCCTTTAAATGAAATCAGATGTCTGAACTACATTTAAACATTGTATAATCAAAAATGTTTGACATATAATGGATCAAACATGTCTCCTTCATATTTCTATGTTTGCTTTCTTTCTGACTCACACATGTTTTACCTTAGATGTAATATGGTGAACTTGTAAGCAAACATTTCATATTTACACATCCAGCAGTTAAGGAGCAACATCGTCCACTCGATGAATTTAAATCTAATATCCACTCTCTTTTAACTTGGTTTTAAAGTCACCTGAGATAAATGTCTGGCTTGTTCAGCCTCTAAATTCTCAACCACCTGCTACCACCAGTTGAAACACAAATGAGAAGCAGTTATTCAGATAATGTATTCAGCATTTCAGTAATACCAATGAATTCTAATATGCTCTGGTTACAGCCTCTAAAATGAGAAATTCTTGCTTTTCATTGTCATGTATCGTTATAAATGAAATGTTTTAGGACCCTTCCACATTGCTACAATTATGGCTAATACACTTGGTTGTATTACAGTTTACAAGAGGCAAGACATTGATTTCTGGTTTCCTGGAGAAATAAAATAACAAACAATAATAATGTATATGAACGACTAATAACAGCTAGACCATCAAAGACAGCGCAAACACACACACTTCAGAGCAGTCCACTTCAGGAGGAAACACACCTGAGTGCTACAGTAACTCCTTTGATATATACAACACGCCATCTGGACTGCATTACTGCACCTCCACCCCACCATCAAGACACTCAGCTACACATACCAACATTCAGTGCAGGCAATTTCTCCTCATTGAACTTTTGGATTCATACCTATGTACTACTTATGTATTCTATCACTAGGAACAGAATCCAGTTAAAGTGGAAAATCCACAAGAAGAAATGGGACGATGGCCTACTTCTTGACATGTCGGAAAATGTGAACTACTTGGCATCCTATCAGCTGTGTCACATCTAACCATGTTACAGAGTGTATGTGTGCCCTGTTGTGTGTCACCTGAAGAGGCGGGTTCAGCAGACAGAGGCAGGTCCTGGATCTCCCACATCCTCACACTGCCGTCCTCAGAGCAGGACATCAGCTTGCTGGAACAGAGACGTGGAAACTACTTTTAGTCTAATCAATGGCTGTTTTAATCACAATAAATCCTAGTGTATTCACGCACGTCTAGAGCAATATTTGATTGACACAGATATACATTGTTTCTTAGCTTTTGCTTTAAGCTAACTCTTAATGTTTCTTTCTATAATCTTTGCTTCTTGTACGTCAGAGGTGTCCAAACTTTTTTCACTGAGGGCCCCATAAATAAAAACATACTAAAGTCTGGGCCACTCACTACAGGTGAGGTATACTGCCTCATAAGTTAAGTTATCAGTTACCAAATTGATCAAATATAGGTAAATTATGCTTGATACTTGAATATGCTCATAATAAGGGGAAATATGAGGGAAGCTTGTTATGGGCTTTTTTTTATCAATTAAGATTTTTTTCAACTTTAATTTATTTGAAAAGTGGGCTCATGAAAACCTCCCCTGTAATATATGTGTAGACATATTTGAGAAGTACAATATAAGAAAATAATGTTTTTACATTTTTGCTGAGGGCCGATTAAAAAAGGCCAACGTGCCGCAGTTGGCCCCCAGGCCGTAGTTCGGACACCTCTTTTGTACGTTACTAAACCCATTTTAGGTTTTCAGGACATCGAATATTTTTATAAAAAGGCAGAAAAATTGTCTTTGGTTAAACTCCCGAGAGCCAAGTATGGCAACAGGTTTTATAATACATGCATGGAGATTTTTTCTGGCCGAATAAACACATTATCCACAAAGAAATGTCCTTTTTGTTTCATTTGATCCCACATTGAAGCGGTTAGAGACAGGATCTGATATCTCACCTGTCAGACAGCAGCATGGTGTGCAGGACGTTAGAGTCGTGGGCCGCCTTCCTGTAGGCCACCACCGTCTTGGTCAGAACGCTGAACACATACAGACCGCTGCCTACAGCTGCAAGGATGTGCTACAAAACACACAACTTTATTTATGTAACACAGTAACAAAACAAAACACAAACAATGTTTAATGACACACAACAAATACATCCCGTGTTCCTCACCCTTCCATTGGTGGTCAGATGCTGTATGGACATCTCACTGGGTTTGGGAGCAGCCAATCGTATTTCGGCCTGAGTGCAGGCTTGTGACTCCTCCCACAGGATGTGCTCATAGGCCATGATGTTCCATTCAATCGCATCCCATAATATCAGCTCGCCCGCGTGGGAGCCGCTCGCAAAGAGCCCGTCTGAGGAAGAGACAGAACTAAAGTCATATAAAGCTCAGGGGGCAATGTGCAATGTCTCAGTCTCTTAAAGCTGAATGAAGCCAGTTAGATAAGTCTGATTCTTTTCTTAAATAACTAACCATTGACGTTAATAAGAGCTCGAATTCTGTCCTGGTGGTCGGACAGACAGCGGACCTCAGCCACCGATATGGAAGAATCTGTAGAGACTGTCAGCCTGTAGATCACTGCAAGGTAGAACAAAACATACATTTATTCTGTGCTGTGTTTATTGACTTGTTGTTTTGGTAAATCACAAAGTAATGCGTTGGTCCGTTTATGAATATTGTTTTATTTTATTCATTGTTTTTGGTTTCAGTTGAACTTTGAATGACCTTTTTTCTATTAAAAGTGCAATACAAATAAAGTTTGAATGATGTTTGATATCAACAGTATTGACTAAAGCCGTGTCGTTTTTTCTATTTGCACGTATTAAACATTCTGTCTCTTACCTATCTCTTTATCCATTGCAGCTGCTATGCAGTTCTTGGGCAGCTCTATCAAAGCAGTTATTCCTGCAGAGTTATAAAAAAGAAAACACAAAATAACAACATTAATCATTGTGTGTGCAAACAGCAGGGTTGGGGGG